AGCTTTGAAATTGTTCAGAAAAGCAATCGCCTTCCAACCGACGATTGACTCATTAAGCCGTTGAAAGAATTGCTTTGAATAGATATTCGAACAAAAAGTCGCATTTCATGAAAAATAAAACCCGTCAATTCGTGTGAAGTTGGTGAGTGATAAAACGCGGAGTTTGAAACAGAAATGTGAGTATTTTCATGTATGTTTCACAGACTTTGCAAAACTCCATGCAAGATTCTTTAATTTTTTCAGAGATATTAAAACGGTCAGAGATTGAGAAGCGGCACACTGATTTGTGAATTATCAGGTTGGCAAAAAAGAAATGCGCGTTTTCGTTAAAAGTTTATTTTATTATATTAGCTTGGTAAATATGAAAGGTTATTTTTTACAAAAAATATTGCCCTGTCGTTACGAAGAACATTCGCTGTGTAGGATTTTTCTCAATAATATGTCAAAATGTGCTAATGCTTTTTTTGCAAAAACCTTTTTTGTTTTGAATAATATTTGTATTGTTTCAGCTCAGCAAAGATGGATGACCAAAAATTTAAAATCAGGGCCGCCATTTTCTTTGAATTCAATTTAAACAAGAAAGCTACGGAATGCCATCAGAACATTTGTACTGTTTTTTGGAGAAGCTGCTCTTACTTACAAACAATGTTGTGTTTGGTACGATCACTTCAAAACGGGAAACGAGTCATTGGAAGATGCATCACATGGAAAGCCGCCGATTACTTTGGACGATCAGCTATTACTGAACTTGGATCCATTGCAAAAGTGTAGAAAATTAGCAGAAAAGTTCGGATGCACTCATGTTACCATTTACACGTTCTTGGGAAATCATATCGAAGCGGGAAATGGCTCCCCCACGACCTCACTGATGCCCACAAAGTCACACGAGTCACCTTGAGCTCTGTTCTTCTACGTAAAGCTAGCCATCGTGACTTTTGGAAGTATTTTTTGACATCTGATGAGACTTGGCTTTCGTATGAAAATATTCAACTCTATGGACAGTGGCTGAGTTCGAAGCAGACCTCTCATCCTATCCCGAAGCCTCCGAAAAAGTTATGCTTTGTGTGTGGTGGAATGCTAAGGGATTGGCTCATTTGGAAATATTAGATAAAGGAGACACTGTTGACGAAAGACTTTATGCAGAACAAATGGGTTGAGTCGATCCAGCATTGAGGAAAAAGAGGATCGATCCATCGAAGGTCAGATTTCTTCACGACAATGCTAGGCCTCACATTTCAAAGATCGTCCACGAACAAATCGATAAGTTGAGCTGAAAACTTCTTCCACACCCACCATACAGCCCTGATCTAGCCCCATCGGATTACCATCTCTTTCAGTCTATGAAACAAGCAGTTTCTGGACAGCAGTTCAAACAAAAGCAGGACATCGAAAATTGGGTTGCCAACTATTTTGCCTCTAAAAATCTTCAATTTTACGAGGACGGTATTCGTGATTTGGGGCGATGTTGGAAAGAAGTTATTAATGCTTGTGGTGGATACATTTGATTTTGAAAGTGTTTAAATAAGTTTTCCTGTTATGTTACAAATGATCAAAAAAATAACCTTTCATATTTACCAAGCTAATAAAAACAAGATAACAATACATTAATTCACAAGGTATTCGCCATCTGCATCAATGACTTGTCGCCAACGTTCACGCAGAGAATGGATGCCCTTCTTGAAGAACTCGACCGGCTGCGACTCGAAGAAGTTGGACACCCAAATTTGGACCTCGTCGCGGTTCTTGAACTTTTTCTCAGCCAAGGAGTGGTGCATTGATCGGAACAGATGGTAGTCGGAAGGCGCCAGGTCTGGGCTGTATGGCGGATGAGGCAGGACTTCCCAGCCCATTTCTTCAATTTTCTGCTGGGTGATTTTTGCGACATGTGGCCGAGCGTTGTCGTGGAGGAATTTTGTCGACGCGGTATCCACACCTTGACGTCGCAGCGCCTGGTCCACGCGATCCAATTGGCCTTGTCTGAGTGTAGATTTGGATTCCCCGTGAAAATTCACCCTAGAAAATGTGGTTTTAATAATGATTTTCGGTTTTTACTTACCCTCTTCGTCGAAATTACTTACCCTCTTCGTCGAAACATCGTATTCTGACTAGTCTGACAGGTAGTCTGACTTTGACTGAGATTTTCTCTATGTTTTTATATTAAATTTTACTAAGGAAATTGTGGTTTTCTATAACAAAATTTCATAAGGAACATTTTAAGACCAACCACAAGTTGATCGGTCAACCGGAAGTTGAGATATGGAGGAAAAGAGAAGAGTCGTCAAACTCCGCCTAACAATAGTACAATTGTTAAGGAAAAAGAGAGTAAAAATGTAGAATCTGTTTTGTAGACTTACCGATAAAAACATAGAGAAAATTAGGGTCAAAGTCGAGATAAGTCTCTGACCCCCCTCAGAGAATCAGGGTTTGACGACTCTTCTCTTTTTCTCCACTTCTCAACTGCTAACTGTCGGATCGACTTCTGGTTGATTTTAAAATGTTCCTTATGAAATTTCGTTATAGAAAACCACAATCTACTTAGTACACTTTAATAGAAAAATATCGAGAAATTTTCACGCAAAGTTGAACAACCTACCCGAAAGGAAATCCACAACTTACTTACTACACTTTAATATAAAAACATAGAGAAAATTTTGGTCAAAATTGAACTATTTACTTGGAAGAGTCGATCCAGTTAAATGGTCCATAACTCCAGGTCAGAAACCCAAACAACTCATCGTTTGTTTTATTAGAACCTACATAAAAATTTAGTAAAGAAATATAGAATCTGTTTTGTAAACTTACTGATAAAAACAGAGAAAATTAGGGTCAAAGTCGAGATAAGTGTCTACCCCTCCCTAGAGATTTGTCTAGGGGAGGGGTAGAGAGTCGGAGTTTGACGACTCTCCTCTTTCCCGCCATCAGAAAGAGAATAAATGGATAACCAAATTATGCAAAACGCGTAGGATCAAAAAAAGGAAAATCGCCGGATCACTGGATCACACCACAAAAACATGTACAAATTTTAAACACCTACCCTTCTTTAGCATCTCACAGCAGGACAGATGTGAACGTTAGAAGGAGACGGGAAAATGTGACGTCTATTAGCTGACGACGATTTGCCTCGAGCATTTTCTCGTCTTAACCCCCACAATCATTAAAATACACAGTCTCGAATATTCGATCCATTCGATATTTGATCTATTCGATTATTCGATTCGATAGTCTAGCATCGCAATGATGACCTTCAGAAATTTGCGTTCCTTCCCGGCTCTTCTCGAATCGCAGGTTATAGGGAAATTGGCCGTGTTCGAGGCCTTTTAACTGCTACGAGTTAATCATCGTCTTCGCTCATTTGTCCTGTTTCATGGACCTTATCTTTCGAATCTTCAAAGTGTAGACGTTACGCTTCACCACGCGAAATTCGAAAACGGTGAGATTATAGCCTTGGGCATAACCATTCATATCCTGCATCACTCTAACTATTGGCTTTTTCATTCGAGCAACGTGAAGAATGACGTGAAGCATCTTCAGGTTGGTGCAAGTGCCACTGTTCAAGTGAATACTTCGCAGGGGAGACTCTTTCAAAAGTTAATCCATTTCGCTGATTTGAAAATATTCTGCTTTCAAAGAACTGTCCTTTCAGAAAACAAAACAGAATTTGATGCTTCTAAATTTCTCCCCTCCACTCTAAGGAATCCATTAAGAGGGTTTTCAATTGGTTTTCCTAGTGATTTGAGCGTGACTCGATCACTTCTTTCAAGATATGGTTTTATACAAGTGACGAAGCGTTTCCAAATTAACTGGAGCTCCTTGCTTTTTCTTTCTGATGACCTTGATCGGGAACTTGCGGTTTTCATGAAAAACCATTGGTCACTATGTGAAGATCTCGACCTAATACGTCTTCCTTCTCAGCTTTTCAACGAGAATCTTTCGTTAATGCAAGAAAATGTGAAACTCCAAGCTGTCCTCAGAAGTTGGGATAACTTCACGAGTTGTGTCGAGTTTTTCGCGTCACGGAATTGTTTTAATGCGTCGTATTGCAGTGTTGGGCATTATGGAAATCTAGTGAGGAAAGAAGATCCTAGATACAAAAAACTACTAGACATTTTCGATCGTGCGCACATGCCTCTTGTTGAGGCAGAGTTTATCGACCAGTCCACGGAGCAGCTCTTTTTTCACCGACCGCCACTGGCCTACCGATTTCAAATTAAATTGTGCTTCAATTACTCTCAAATGCATATTTTGCAATGTCAATCTTCTTGATAAATTAAAAATTACGATGTTTGTGTTTTCTCGCTTTTAATTATTGTAATTCTAGAATACGTATTTCATTCGTTACCTAATAAAAATATATCTTTCAGGAAAGCATGTCATGTTATGCACAAATATGTTTAAGTTTAATAAGTAACCCCCAACCGAATTCCAGAAACAAGTGAGGAAAGGAGATCCGAGATACAAAAAGCAAATTATGAGGATTTGAGGTCCGGGATCCATCGGTGGATCCCGTCGTCCCAGATGGCAGTCACCCTGGGACCCACCGGTGAGTCCCATCGTCGTGAATGTGTTAAAACAGTCTTTATCAAAGAAAGTTCTTGAAAAGATGTGTTTTCTACTTTTTCTTCTTTTTGCTTTGGCATTATTGTTAATTGTTAGTGAATGGATGTCAGATTAGGTGCGATCAGTAAGTCTGGAAAGTTTTGCTGGAAAGTCCGGAAAGAAATCTTGTTATTTCTTAGTTATCTTTGAGAAATGTAGTTATTTTTAACGATTAGAAGCTTTATTTAAAGCCATAATGCAATTCAAGGATGGAGATGGAAGTGTAGATTGGAATATTGATGTACGCTTTCCAAGGACAAACTATGGTTGGTCCGGAAAATTTGCTATGATTGGATGATTTAAGCGACCGGTTTAAAGGATCATCCAAAATTATGGCAACAAATTTTAGAAAACTATTCTTTTCCAAAAAACTTTCTACAAAAAGTAGCATGTATTATATACTATTTGAATTGAGAGCTCCTTTTGCAAATAAAACGAAACTGATCGGTAGGAGACCAGACCGTCCATTTCCCATCGAGGCTCCAAAGCTGAAATATGTTTATTTCTGATGGAAATCCTTCCATTAAGCATTTATTACTTTAGAAAAAAGAGTTTCCTCAGATTGCTTCAAATATTTTTGGATTAATTATGCATTCGAAATTGGAATAAATATTCATGTTTTCCCCATGAAAATCTCACCAAAGCGTGGCTTTTCGAATCCGGCCATCCAACCTTCAAATTCGTGAAATCCACCGAACTTCCATCCGTCCATTCAAAAGCATTTTCTTTGTTCGGATTGCTCTGAATAAAAAAATTTCTATGTTTAGACATTGATATTCCGATCCGATTTCCCTTTCTTATTATTGAAATTATTCTAGTTTCCCAATCGAAACCATTATTTCTATCAAAGAACTATCAGTCAAACGAATCTTTTTTTACAAAGTGCGTTCCAAAGTGGCTGAAAAAAATGAAAGAATTAAGTTTAATATATTCATTTATGTCTTTCCATAAAAAAAATTCAACCTTCAGTCCGATCCAGAACAAAGACTCCGAACCAACATTTTTCGCTGAAATAAATATCGATTGTTTTTGGTTTATAAAGCATAAATTTCTAAGGAAATCATGAATTTTCAGAATTGAATCATTTTGATTTCTTACGGAGTTTCCAAACAAAATCGTTCTCTTCCTGACTGTGAATTGAGACTAAATGGCTTTTTCTGCCCCCACAATATGCCTCGGCTTCATCGAATGTCATTCTTTGATCGATAAACTTGAGATGAAGATAATCCTGGTTCACAACATCCACCAAACCTTGTACCAAGAAGCGGTTTCTTCCAAATACAACCAGCCATCCAGATCCAAGACCCAAATCATCATTCGATCTCTGAATTTCTTCTGAAAATCTTTACTCCGCACTTTTTTGGAACAAATACTACTTCCTTTTCCATAAAAAAACTCACAAATCTGCCTGCAACTTCGCGATTTCGGCCGTTTTGTTTTCCCTTTCAGATTGTCTAAAGAGGAATTGATTGGATTGAGTGGAATGGGTGTTTGGGAAATGAAAAAACTGTTTTCTTAAGTCTCAGTCGACAAGAGATGCCAAATGAACTCACATTTGAGCCCTCAATTCGGTTATTTTCGTTGCTCTAAAAGGAGTTCTGTTAGTTAACAATCTGTCATAACTAAGAATAACCAGAGAGAGAAGAAGACTCACAACTCGGCCTTTAGCTCCATGCTTTCGGACCTCAATTTCCTCTCGACCTCGGCATTTTCTTTCCTCGTTTCGTTCAACTCCTTCTCGCTGAACAACTCTAGCCAGTCAAATTCTAACAGTTTTCAACGTACAAATCGGCTTTCAACGCGGAAAAGGTCCTTGACATTTCGGCGACTTTGGAATCTCTAGATGTGTCTCATTCTTAGATATTTCTTTAAGCGATCTCAAGACTCACATCCCGGCTTTCAAAAGCAGCACCAATCTTCGTCGGTCGTTCGCAGAGTCCACTGATTTTTCCTCGAGCCTCGACGAGTTCTTGTCGGGTTCCATTCCTGAAAAGTCTTGTCATTTGGACACGCAAACCTATTTCTTGTTCATTGTCTCGAAAAAACCCACAAATTTCTTGGACAAGACCTCAAATTGATGGGATAGACAAATTGATGGGTATAACTTGACGACGAACCCTCATCACTACTGCTGAAATCTGCGATCATCGAAAATCCCTTTCTGACCAACTTTGACGAAGAAATTCGATGGAAAAGAAGGAAAATCGTGATGAATAGACCGACGGCCATCACACCCATTCCGATCGATTGGTGAATTCGAAATTCAAGGTTTTGAATTCAAGGAAATGGGAAGAATGAATGGAGCGACGATGCCAAAGTCCCAAAGTGAAAGTTTTGACGGCCCAAAGGGCAGGAATAACTGTTTTGACGAGCCGGAATAGATGTTTGAGAATGGAATTTTGAGCATTTCAAAGTCGCTTTCTGAGGTCATTACAAACAGACAGACAGTTATTTTTAGACTCACAATACTACTAGTTTTTGTGGAGGCTTTATAATTGCTTGCTTTTGGTGTGAAAAGGAGGATAAGAATCTAATAAATCGAATCTATCACCTTACACCTTTCGATTTTGCGATGTCACCAAGTTAAAGGCTTCGAAAAGAAGGGGTTCTCCGTTGTAAATGACGCTCTTTCCACTAAAAAACTATTTTTCAAAAAATCTGTCAGGAGAATTTGGAAAATTTTTCCTGTTTTGAAATGAGTACATTTTTCTGTGTAGAATGACACATCTTTCATCAAAATTCATCAAAAAACGCAAATTGCACCGATGTGTGTGAGACCTGAACCACTGTTTTGACGGCCCGAAGGGCTGGAATGAAAATTTTTGAAGGCCAGAAGGGCCTGAGTGTAACCGTGGACTTTTCTGAACTGTCTGAAAGGCCTAATGAGAGATTTGTACGGTCCAAAGGGCCGAACTATGTCTATTTTCCAACCCATCAGCGCAAATACTTTCACCGGTCCCCCAATTAGACAGCGGACAAAGCGAACGATCGTGAGCGAACAAAACCGGACGTGGAGCTAGCGAGATCACGACAAGAGCCTCCGAATTGGAGACCAGGTTGGAAGCCGATTTGTGAGTGTTTGGAATGGCGTTAATTGGATGGAATCACCAGAGGCGATAGAGACGAGGGATCCAAAAATCCCCAATTTTCCATAAATGAAATGAAGGGCTTGCGTCGAAGATGGGAAGAAGTCAAAATGGAGAATACTTTATTGATTGATAGTTGCTATTTCTTGTAGAATGCAATCTATTGTTACACGCAAAAAGCGCGCATTATTTTTTCCCTGATCTAATAGTTAATAAAAGACTTCTCCTTAGGTTTTGAATAGTTTCTAGATTTGCATGGAAACTTGCCTCATGCTAAGGAATAGAAATATCATGGAAATTTTCAGGAAACGAATCACCCGAGTTTTTGTAGTTTTTGTGGTAAGGTTTTTGACAGAGAAAGTCCAACATCTCACATGTTTAGGCAAAAAAGCCTTGAGACACTTTTAGAAATTGACTCTGTCTAGCCAGTCCATAACTTCGAAAAGAAGAGTCCACCAATTTAATTTGGACTAATAAGGACTCCTTTGACGGAAAAGAGATCTTTGTTAAACTGAAACTCGAACAGCATCTCTCTCGCCGGACCTCTTCATTCGCTACTCGTGCCTCAAAGAGATTTTGGATTTGGACAAAGAAATTCCCTTAGCTACACGCAACTCTTCGCAAACGTGGCCGAGAACATCACGAGGCAAATGAATGGGGAATTTCGAATGAAATCCATTTTGATTGTATTCCATATTCCATATCTAATATTCAGGAGCAGCGAGACAGCAAAATACTTGCAGCTGCAGGCGCAATTCTGGATTTCTGGAAAAACTTTTTATATGAGATTTTGCAGAAACAATTCAGAAATAAAGGAGAAGATAATGTGCAGTTCTGTGTTTTCAGAAGATTGGATAACATGGGATTTATTAATTTTTGGTCCACAGAAAAAGACACAAAGCATTTATCAGAATTGAGAGCTCCTTTTGCAGATCAAAAGAATCTGCTGGGTAGGAGGATAGACTCCCCATTTCCCATTGTAGCTCAGAAGCTGAAATGTGTTCATTTCTGATGGAGATCCTTTGATAAAACACTTTGTGTTCTTTCACAAAAAGAAATTTCCTCAGATTGATCAATTTTAATTATGCATTGGAAATTGGAATACATATTGATGATTTCACGTTGAAAATCTCACCCAAGTGTGGGTGTTCAAATCCGGCTCTTCTCCATACCAATTCGTGAAATCCACCGAACTTCCATCCGTCCATTCCAAAGCATTTCCTTTGTTCGGATTTCTCTGAATAAAGAAATGTTTATGTTTGGACATTGATATATTTCGATCCGATTTTCCTTATTTCTTCTTGAAATTATTCTAGTTACCCAATTGAAACCATTATTTCAATCAAAGAACTACTAGCCAAACGAATCATTTTTTCACAAAAAGCCTTCGGGAAATGGCTGAAATAATCATTAGTTTCTATATATTTATTTATGTCTTTCAATGAGAAAAACTCAACCTTCAGTCCGATCCAGAACCCATGAAAGGCTTGAACAGTTTTCGCTGAAATAAATATCGGTTGTTCTTGGTTTATAAAACATAAATTTCTACGAAAATCATGAATTTTCAGAATTGAATCATTTCGATTTCTTACCGAGTTCCCAAACAAAATCGTTCTCTTCATGACTGTGAATTGAGACTAAATGGCTCTTTCGACTCGCACAATATGCCACGGCTTGATCAAATGTCATTCTTTGATCGAAAGCCTTGAGATGAAGATAATCCTGGCTCACAACATCCACCAAACCTTGTACCAAGAAGAGCTTTTTGCCAAATACGACCATCCATTCAGATCCAAGATCAAAGTCATCGTTCGACTTCTGAATTTCTTGGAAAAACATTACTCCAGATTCTTTAGACAAATACTCAATCTATTTCCTGAAAAAAACGCATAAATCTGCCCGCAACCTCTTGATTTCGGCCATTTTGTTTTCTCTTTTAGATTGTGAGGAGGGGAGTTGATTGGATTGAGTGGAATGGGTGTTTTGAGAGTGAAAAAACTGTTTTCTCAAGTCTCAGTCGACAAGAGATACCAAATAAACTCACATTTGGGTTTCGAGGTCAGAGTTCTCGCTCTGCAACGCGTTGATTTTCCCTTCGAGCTCTCCAATCTTGGCTTTTCCGTCTCTTGCTTCCCTATTCTGAGTTCTTGTGAAAATAGTTCAGATAACTATATATTGGGCTTGTCAAAATCACTACTCAAAATCCAAAAAAGATGAGCTTGAATTCTTCAAGATTTTTGATTTCACCCACATTTCCCTCTCGAGTCCGCTGATTTTTCCTCGGGCCTCGACGAGTTCTTGTTGGGTTTGATTCCTGAAAAGTCTTGTCATTGAGACACTCAAGCCTATTTATTGTTTATTCTATCAATTTCGCTTTTCTCCCAAAAAAACTCACAATTTGCTTTGACAAGATCTCAAGCAGACGGTATCCGGACAATCCTCTTTACTGCTGAAATCTAAGATCATCCACAAACCCCTTTCTAACCAACTTCAAAGTACTACGATCACCAGACGGAATCTCATCTCGATCATTCGAAGATCTGAATGTTTGAAAACATGGCTATTTGAAGGGAAAGCAATACGTGAATAGATCCACTTGAACGCTTTCTTGAATGGACGAAGAAATTTGATGGAAAAGGAGGAGAATCGTGATGAATAGACCGACGGCCATCACACCCATTCTGCTGAATTGGTTGATTAGTTTTGAATACGGGGAAATGGGAAGAACGAATGGAGGGACGATCCGATACACAATTGTTTTTTACGGAAAAGAGCTTTCGAGGGCTCTGAAATTGTTCAGGAAAGCGATTGACTCATTAAGCCGTTGAAAGAATCGCTTCGAATAGAACTTCGTGCAAAAAAAAGTAGCATTTCGGGAAAAAGAAAGCCGTCAGTTCGTGTGGAGTTGGTGAGTGAGAAAACGCGGAGTTATCAGGAGACTACTTTCGGGGAAAGTCAACTGAACCGACCGTTCCCATCAAATCGCCACAATTGTTCCTCAAAGCTATCTATCTCCCCCGGCGTAAACAGTTTTTCCTAGAGCCTTTTTGACTTCTCCAACTTCAAAATTCAAAGCTCCTCGAGGTGTCATCATTGTTGATTGTTGTTTTGGTTGTTCTATGTTTTTTAAGTTGTTTTGTGTTAAAGCAGAGCATTGTTGTAAAAAAGCATAACTAAACAAAACCTCTCTAAAACGGAAACTGCTCAAGGCATTAAAGGCATTTCTGGAGATTTGGAAAAAGAAGAGATGCTCTGAAGACATCGAGGAGGAGGCTTCGAGAAATTGTCCATTTTGGTTGCTAGACGAACGAACTGTCCTACCAAATGACTGAACTTTCCTGCAGAACAAGTGAAAATTAAAGGAAAAGGCTACTAAATAAGCAGAATTGATGAGATAATCAAACAAGAAATTCGTTGCCAAGCAAAATAGGGCAAAATTCTATAGGCAAAATTCTTACCAAATAAAGAGAAAGGAGGGGAATGGGCACTCCTTTAGTCATCAGTCGTCAACCAAAAACAATCAATCTTCGTTTCAGCGAAAACTGAAAACGAAAACTGCTACAAAACAACAATGATTTGGGGCCAGAAATAGAATGAGGACACTTGGATTTCCTCCATAATTTATCAATATTTAGACTACCAGGATCAGAGAGCTTTTGTTAGTGGCTATTCCCCACAGTAATGCCTTTTTCATCGGAAAGAGGAAAACCATGTCGACGAAGAAATGATTGCATCCAACCGTTGCTTCTTTTGGAATTGAGACCAGCCTCAGAAACGGTTCATCGCTTCGGTATAGATAGCCACATTCGACAGCCAAATACCCTAATGGATCTGAAATCTGAAATGTGTCTTTCAAATTTGAGGGAGATCTTCTGATAAGACTTTTCGAGTTTCTGGTAATCACGACCATCACCAGAAAACACGGAATGAAGAACTAATCCTTCTGGACTCTCTGATCACTTTTTATCAAAAGACGGAATTCTTTTTCTTGACATCCATTTCCTCTCTTTTTATTGTATTTGACAAAATCATTTAGAAGAAGTTGTCCGAAGCTTTAGGTGAAGTTGTTTGTAACGATGAGGTTTCTACCGCTTCTGCTACTGATTTGAATTCAATGATATATGTATCTAAAACACGATACGACATTTGACGTTGATACGATTGACTAGCGATTGATTCGTGTCATCGTGAGTCAAAACAATTCGTGTCATCGTGAGCTCTGCCCTGCTTCAAAAAGGCAAATCGCATGATTTTTGGGGAAGAATTCTAACATCTGATGAAACATGGATTCAATATGAGAGTGTGAAGCGCAAAAATCAGTGGCTTTCTCTAGGTCAACCCCCACAACCAACTTCAAAACCCGATATTCATGGAAAGAGACTTATGCTTTGCTGTTGGTGGAATACAAAAGGTTTGGTGTATTATGAGTTGTTGAATCCGGGAGAAACTGTCACCGCTGATCGTTATTCAAAACTGTTGATGAGAGTTAACGAAGCTTTAAAGAAATTGGGCGTTGAAACATCAAAAGTGCTATTTTTGCATGATAATGCAAAACCTCACACTGCAAAAATCATACACCATGCCCTCTCCAATTAAAAATCGTCCCTTAAGGCTGCTGTTGGAGGTGTGTGCTTTTGGAGAAAATGCTTGAATTCCTTCTCGATCTCCTTCAAATAGATTCTCTCATTTAACTCTTCGATTCTCATTTTTCATTTTTATTTGGAGTTGGATTTTTTATTGTTAATGTTTGTAGATAAATAAAAATATTTTCCACAGTGCAGCTTTTGTGTTTTCTAGATTTTAAGACATGCTCTTACCAATAGAAAAGCAATAAAAGTTGCGGTCGCATCCGTTTCCTTCCTATTTGCGTTCCTATTTTGCAATTATTCGCGTCGCATTTTTCGTCTTTTTTTTCTCCCTTCCCGAAATTCTTTCTTTTTGATCGGCGGGGGGTTTTTTTGCCTTCTTTCTTGGGGGACTTTGTTATTTCTATTGATGCGCATGCTGTTTTTGTAATGGGTATTGTTGCATTTCGGTTCTGTACTAATAAACAGTAAAATGATAAATTCAACTTACCTTATGCCACCCTTCAGGTTTTAAATCCTGTTTAGATAACTGGTTTAACATTGTAGAGAGAGCTTACTAACATTTGTGTCGCCACCGACTAGTATGAATCTTGTGTTGGATGCTGCGCGTTCTTGTTATGTTGTAAGCGCTTTGGGGAAACCCTTTTAACCTTTTTTGTGCAATTCGGCCATTCTTAAGCAGAATCATCCTCGATGATAAGGTTAAAGCGGGTCGCGCCCCAAACTGGGGGCCGAACCGATCCACAAGCCTTTGGAAGGACAGTGGTTGAACTAAGAGGCAAAATGAAAGATCCAGTTGAACAGAAAGGCTGTAAAGGATCTGTTACTAGGAGAAACGGTTGATCCGACTCCTATGACCCGAGAGAAAGGGTAAATTTTGACCTCATTGGAATCATAAGTCGAATAGAAAGACTTGCAGAGGCGTTTTGAACAAACACTCGTTATTTAAATGAATCCGACCAAGAACAATTCATTTGTGATTTGAATCATTTATTTTCCTCATGAATCGAAGAATTTTGATTGTTGAAAGTATAGGCATATTTCCTGCGCATGAAACTCCGAAATTACTTTCCCCACGATCGTTATTCGCCAATTTACACCCATGTTGATTATATTGCTTTGTTTTCGATTACTTTCCGTCTACAACGCTAATTTTTATATTTCCAGGGTAAATTGAAAAGATGACGGGCAAGCTAACTGGTGCTGCGAGTCGACACGAAGAGGGGCTACTAGATAATGTAAGTGTTTTGAAACAAGTGTTTGGGAATCTTGTGGAAAAGCTGAAAGAAGGCGTTGAAGAAAAAGTTGAAACTTTTGTAAGTGTTCTATGCAAGAAAACAACTAATCGTCAAAAAGCGGCCATTAGCATCGAGAGCAAGAAATTGCTGGAAGAGCTTTGGCTCGAGTGGGATAAGTTGAAGGAGGCTGAAGCAAAATTGGCTGAAGCCTACGCAATAGAACCGAAAGGAAATTTAAGGTTGTTGCGGGGAATGATCGTATGATCAAAGTATGCAATGAACTGGGCTTTGAATCGAAAGAAGCGCTTACAGAGTTCAATGAGAAATACATAGAACAGAAAGAGTTGATTGACTCACTTTGCGATACGTTTATGACCAAGCAAACAGAGTTGATTAGGAAAGTTGATAGATGTATTGGAGACCACAATACACTAATAAAAATTTGTCACATATTGAACTGCAAAGAGGAAGAAGCATATTTTGTTATTCAGACGATGCTCACCGATTCGGTCGAAGACAAGACTAACAACATGAAGGAGCCCTCAACCCATAAGAACTAGGTATAAAGTTTGAGGAGCATATGAGTGTCCAGAAAAGTTTTTGCATTTTGCATCGAGCAATTTTTGCCAGCCATTTTATAGAGGTCATTCGCCTAGTTTGGATCGGTCAATTTGTTATTGAATGTCAAGTCTATTCATTTTATTGTTGAGCTAGAATTCGAATGACCGTGCTAGGCTTCGTAGAGCAAGCTTTGGTCAAACTGTTATGGAAAACTCGCTAAATCCAATCAAAAGATCAAATGATGCATTTTTTTTGGCCTTTCACCGCCCACACGACGAATTTTTGGTAAAATAGTTTCACTTCCAAATGTTTGTGTAAAATGTGATTGAAAATTGCTCTGGGATTAGCAACAACTTTCTTGATAAAACGAAATCGAAATAGTGGAACGGGTAAATGGACGAGAAACCATTTTAAAACATTTCAAAAAGAAAGATTCCTTGTCTCGAAGAAAAAAAGAAAGATTTCTTGTCTGCACACCCGGGAAATCTTTATTCCGCCATTTTTAATTTTTATACAGACAATTTTCATTTTCAACTTTCATTTAATTTATTCCTGAGTACCATTTTTTAGTTTACAGTTTCACAATGCGACTTCTCATCCTGTTCTTTGCTCTTCTTGCTCTTTTCGGCTTGAACGAGGCGTTGATGAACCGGTAAGTCTTGAAAGTTTATTGTAGTTCATAAAACGCTTGTCCCTAGGCTTTGAATAGTTTCTAGATTTGCATAGAAAATTGCTTCATGCTAAAATTAAATAGAAATATGATTGAAGTTTTCAGGAAACGAATCACGAGAGACGATAGGGAGGAGGCTGAGGCGGCCGCTTCGACGAATCTGGGAAAATGGTAGTGAACTTGTGCAATGTCTTTCCCTAACAGATTGTGGTATAAACTTTTCGCTCAATAACAAGCTTGAAAATGAATTTACAGTTTAAGTCCAGATGTTTGATTTAAGACAAACATAAGTTCACAGTTACAATACGCATTTCTTTTTCCTTGATTCAAAGCAGTAGACCAACCAGAGACGAGTAGGAGACGAAAATTGAATTCTCGCGAAGAATTACCCATTTTCCAATCTCAAAAACGCGTGGAATTGCAAAAAAAAAGCATTCTGTCGTTGTGGAAATGGTCTTGCTAATGATATGGGAAAAATTCCAAGATATCATCATCCTTCTATTGATAGGATTTGTCTTAATGGGTGAGTGGAATGAAAATGCAAATCAAAACAAATTTCAGGCACCTATTCCTTTTTGCTGTACTTTTTTATGGAAGTTGGGTGGTGTTTGCTGAAAAAACCTAT